AAGATTGACTATGTTTCTGGTCAATGGATTGGAAGAGGTCCATATTTGTTCCCAAGAAAGGTGATCTAACAGAATGTGGAAACTACTGAACAATATCAATAATATCACATGCAAGAAAAATACTGCTGAAGATCATTCACTAATGGCTAGCACAGTACATAGATAGGGAACTACTAGAAGTTTAAGCAGGATTCAGAAGACGCTGTGACACCAGGAATATCATTGCTGATGATGGATGGATGCTGGCTGAAAGTAAAGAATACAAGAACGATATCTCATTGTTCTTTATTGACTATGCAAAGGCATTTGACTGTATGGATTGTAGCAAGTTATGGCTGACATTTGAGAAGAATGGGAGTCCCAGAGCACTTAATTGTGCTCATGAGAATAGGTTTCTCCTAGACCAGGAGGCTGTTGTGTGAATAGAGCAAGGGAACACTACATGGTTTAAAATTAAGAAAGGAGTGTGTCAGGGTTATATTATATCTCCATACGTATTCAATCTGTATGTTTAGCAAATTATTCAAGAAGCTGGACTCTCTGAAGAAGAATGTGGTATTGAGATCAGAGTAAGATTCATTAATAACCTACTTTATGCAGATAACATTACCTTGCTTTCTGAAAGTGAGGAGAACTTGAAGCACTTGTTGCAGAAGATCAAAGAATATGGATTGTATTTCAATGTTGAGAAAAAAGAATTCTTAACCACTGGACCTATAGGCAACATTGTGATAGAGAAAGGATTGAAACTATCAACAACTTTATCTTACTTGGATCCACAATCTACACCTTTGGTAGCAGCAGTCAGGAGATGTGTTGCACTAGAAAAATTCTACAGTCAGGGACTTATCCAGATTATTTAGGAACAGTGATGTCAGTTTGAGGACTAAGGTGTGTCTAATTCAGACCGTGGTCTTCTGGATAACTTGGTATGCATTTGAGAGCTAGATAATAAAGAAGAATGACAGAAGAATTATTGATACATTTGAGCTGTGGTGTTAGAGAAGTTAGATGGTGAACATCCCATGGACGGCCAAAACAACAAACGTGTTTTGAAGAGGAAGCTGCCAGAATGCTCTTTGGAGGCAAAGCTGGTGAGGCTTCACCTCACATGCTTTGGGTATGACTATTCCTTGAAGAGGAACTTGATGCTTGGAAAGGCAGAGGGTTGGCAAAGGAGAAGACGACCCTCAACAAGGTGAACTGATACAGTAGCTGCTGCAGTGGGCTCAAGTGTGTCATAGATTGTGAGGATGGTACAGGATAGGACAGGATTCAGATCTGTTGTTCATAGGGTCGCTAAGGGTCATACTCGACTCAACAGCTCTTAACAACAGCAGCAACTAAATACTTAACCAAGCATGATGTCTTCCTCTAGGAACCAGTCTTTCCTGATAACAAGTCCAAAGTACATCAAACAAAGTTTTACCATCCTCACTTTTTTTAAAAATTATTTTGTGTGTGTACCATCAAATCAGATCTGACTGGTACAGGAGGAGATTGTCCCTCCTTCTCCAGCACAGCATCTGGTCATCCTCACTTTTAAGGAGCCTCTGGTTGTAGTTCTTCCAAGATAGATTTGTTTGTTCTTGAAGTTCTTAGTCTATTCTATATTCTTTGCCAGTATCACAGTTCAAAGATATTAGTTCTTTTCAGTATCACAGTTCAAAGGTATTAGTTCTTTTCTATCTTCTTTCTTTATTGTCCGACTTCACATGCATATCACTGTTGATTGTTTGAGTCAGGTACGTCTTAGTTCACACTAACAAGCTCTGCTGATTATTACTTTAAAGAGGTCACTTGAAGCAGATTTGCCCAGTGCAGATGTGTCTTTATTTCTTACTTGCTGCTTCCATGGGCTTTGATTGTGGATTCAAGTAAAATGAAGGCCTTAGCAAGTTTAGTTTTTCCTCCACTTATCTTCATGTTGCTTTTTGGTCCAGTTATGATAATTTTTTGTGTTTTTTTAGATTGAGCTATTATTATTTCTAGGATCACATTTTATAAATAACAGGGCAGCAAGTGATAGATGTTGGAGAGGATGTAGTGAGAAAGGAACTCTTATACATTGTTGGTGGGATTGTGAAAGGGTGCAACCACTCTGGAAGGCAGTTTGGCACTTCCTCAAAAAGCTGAACATAGAAACTCCATATGACCCAGCTATTGCACTACTTGGAATATGCCCTGAGAAAATGAGAACTGAGAAACAAACTGAAATTTGTACACCAGTGTTCATAGCAGCATTATTCACCATCACAAGAACTTGGAAACAGTCCAGATGTCCAACCACAAATGAGTGGATTGAGAAATTATGGTACATTCATACAATGGAATACTATGCAGTACGCAGGATCAATGATTTTGTAAATTATTACAACTTGGGAGGGACTGGAGAGCATTATGCTGAGTGAACTCAGTCCCACAAGGACAAGTGCTGTATAAAACCATTATTGTAGAATGAGTATAAGGATCCAAGAGGGGTGGGAGAAGTTAGAAGCAGAGGGATGAGGATATGTGGGGGTGGGGGGTTTAATCATGGGATTGTACAATTTGATGGGTTGGGGAGTGAGGGAATTTAAAAGAATTTGTTCTTAAAAACAATGTTTTTTAATTTTGTAAATAAACTAGTAGAAAATTAAAAAAAAATAGACAAATGGATAGTCTGAAAACAGGAAAGCATTTATTTCACAGTGTGCTGTGTTCTCGTAATCACTTGGTTTTAGAACCTAACCCTGTAGATGAAGATGTAGATGTAGATGGAGCAAAGAACATAAATTTAAAGTATACAGCTTGATGAATGTTTACAAATGAATGCACCCCCTAGGTCAAGGTTGCCAGTACTCTAGATCTCTCCCTCACAGTCCTTTTTATGTCCCACTCTCAAAACTCATTTCTGTTCAGTTGGAACTGACTCATAGCTGGCCCTCCAGGGGGTTTTCAGAGGCTGTAAATCTCATGGGAAGAGATTGCCTGGTTTTCCCCCTTGGAGCAGCTGATGGATTTGAGTTGGCAGTACAACTCCTTACCCGCTAGACCATCTAAACACTTCCAAAAGGAACACCTATGTCGAGTTTGTCTCCTTAGAATGATTTTATTTATTATGAAAATTTATTCTTAAAGCATCATGATAGATGGTGAAGATATTGAGATTGTAAAAGCTTCAGTTTGTTTGGTTCCACAATCCACACTCTTGCTACCAGCAGCCAGGAAATCAAAGATGAATTGCATTGGGAAACTGCTGTCAGGGACCTTGTCAGAGTACTGAAGAGCAATTATTGTCAGCCTGGAGACTGAGGTGTGCCTGATCTAGGCCATGGTCTTCATGATTACTTGCTGTGCATCAGACAGCTGGGCAATGACTAGGGATGATGGAAGGAAAATTGATGCCTTTGAGTTGTGATGCTGAAGAAAGTATTGATTATACCATGGACTGCTAGGAGAACAGTTTCATCCTAGAGAGGTTGAAAGCAGAATGCTCCTTGGAAGCAAGAATTCTGAAGCTCCATCTGACATCTTTGGGTATGTTGCAAGGAGAAGCCAGTCCTTGGAGAGGGACATCAAGCTTGGGAGGGTGGAGGGACAGCACATGCGAGAAAGACCCTTGATGAGATGGATTGACTCAGTGACTGTGCTAATGGGGGGTCGGTATGTTGGAAACAAGGTTGGCTCAGGATAGAGCACGGGCACCCAACTCAGATCCACCAGTTGCTCCCCAGGAGAAAGCTGGGCTATCTGCTCCACGTAGTTTATAGCTTCTGAAAACCTACCGGAGGGTTGGCCATGAATTGGTTCTAAATACATAACCATAACATGCAGCAATGCTTTGAACAATAAGTAATAATATTGGGATCTGAAATGATGGCATAAGCAAATTATGTGCTGGAGCACCACGTGAGAACATATTACTAACAATAAGGTATATTAAAAGCTCCAGTAGGTAGGCGTCCATGTGATTCATCTTAACGTGAATACTCTCTTATCAGAGACTGCCCGGAGGATAGCAGTCAATTCCAGCTACCAGAGCGTGGCTGTAGGGGCGGTCGGAGGTGCCATCATCAATGTTCTTGACGATGACGACTTTGCATCCAGAGTAACATCCGGCCAGGACCAGCACTTCTATTAGGTGTACACCTGGAAATGCTGAGTCGAAAGTTTTGTTATAAGCAGACAGGTTTTTTTATGTGGATGTATCCACGGTCAATACTCTTGGCACCAGTAGCCAGGAAATAAAAAAACGTATTGCGATGGAAAAGTCTGCTGTTAGAGACCTCTCTAAAGTACTCAAGAGCAACAGTGTCTCTCTGGAGACTAAGGTGTGTCTGGTACAGGCCATGGTTTTTGCAATCACTTGTTATGCATCAGAGAGTTGGACAATGACTAGGGAGGATAGAAGGAGAATTGATGCCTTTGAGCTTTGGTGCTGGAGAAGAGTTTTGAATGTACCATGACTGCCAAGAAAGCAAACAGATTCATCCTAGAGAGGGTTAAACCAGGCTGCTTCTTGGAGGCAAGGATTCTGGGGCTTCGTCTGACATACTTTGGACATGTTGTAAGGAGAGACAGGTCCTTGGAGAGGGACATCATGCTGGGTAGAGTAGACGGACAGCGCAGGAGAGGAAGACCCTCTTTGAGGTGGATTGATTCAGTGACTGGGGTAATCGGAATGGGTGTGTCAGAGGCAATGAGATTGGCACAGGATAGAGCAGGGTTTAGGGCTGTTGTACATAGGGTCGCTATGAGTCGCAAACGACTCTACGGCACATAGCAACAACATAACCAGAACCAAGAAACAAGGTGTCTGATTATATGAATACACCATCATTTGGCTGCGTATGGTTTGTGCCACGTCTTCTCAGGCTGCCGCAGAAGTGGGATTGCCCATTTCCCACGCTGTTCCAGGTTTTGTCTGTGGCTCTGCTATGGTCAGCAGTTCTGCCCTGAAGTAGACACACGGAACTGAATGCTCCTCTTTGCTCTTTGCCCACACGTCTCATTTTTAGACAAGAAGGCTGACTGCACAATCACCATGGCAGACTCGGATTTACTGGCTTTAATGACTGGCAAGATGAATCCTCAGTCGGTAAGTAGATGAAACGTATGTCCCTCTTGTGGGCGGGTCATTTAAGCTCTTCCCACCTCATATGCATATGCGTATGCTCAAGCCCCAGAATACCCAACCCATCCAAAACTCGGTGTCTCCAAAAATGTTCGTTTAACAAATGGCAGTCTCTTGTGGAAAAATATATGTGCCAGATGCTACTGTGGATGCTAGAAGACCGAGAAGGATAAAAAGTTGTTCCCCTGCTCAGAGCACCCACAGGTGGGGAGGAAACAGAGTTGCAGAAAATTAGCACAGCCAAGGAGCCAAGGCACCGGCCAGGCTGTGATAGGAAAGGATGAAGCGGAGGCATTTACGTCCACTGGGCCTTCATGACAAGCCTTTAGGGAGAGCAGTGTTTGTCCCTTGTGCTGAGTCCCATGGGTGGTCATAAGCTTATGATGCTCAAATGAAGACCATTCCAGGTGGAGGAAGCAGTGTAAACCCAGCATGACCTTTTATATTTCACATTTCTCTCTATTGCTCTTCTTCTTACCCAGACTCTCCATCCCTGACAAACCTTAACTTTCATCATCCAGTCACCTGTTGTAAGGAGCTCCTTCCAAGTGGTTAGGGAGCTGTAGCCAGTCCCTCTGTGGGCAGACGGCTAACATAGCACTTGAGCGTCAATGTGCCTGCCTCTTCCTCCATCAAGTTGTGAGCTCTTCAAAGTTAGGAACCAGAAGCTCATTCCTCTTTGTGTTTCCAGAGCTTAGTACAAGGCTTGACATTTTTAGGTTTTCAGTAGATGTGGGATTAGATTGGTTGAAAAAAAGTGCTTATAGATTGCACAGATCCCCTTGGTCCCAAAATTGTCCTGGACCTTTTTATATTCTTCAGTGTTGAAATCACTTTGATGTGCTGATTTCAGAAAGCCAGGGGTGTAAAAGAATCAAAGATGCTGCTTCCCACGGTAGCTATATTGTTACTAATTTTTATTTCCTTAACTTTATTAATTTTCTTTTTTTCCACCTAAATTTATTGGCTTTCTGGTTCTCTGGCAATTTGCAAGATTAGGTAAAACAGCAAAACCTTACTCTGTTGTCCTTTTTTTAAAAAAAAAAATTATTTTATACTGGTTTATTTACAGAGTTTGTATACATTGTTTTTTACACTGAATCTTTCCCATTTTCTTCACACCCCACCCTCATCCCCCATCAGATTGTACAATCCTCTGCTATCCTTTTTAAAAATTCCTTTTCTCCTAAGCCTCTGCCAGCTTATGCCATAGCGAGTGCAGAATCAATGCCTATGCCTTGTTTCAGCTGGATCCGTTGGCACTGATATTTCCTCCCACTGAGCCTGTTCTCGAAACCTGGACAGCACAGAGGCCACCAGTGTAGGAGCTGGCTGCTGTCCTCTCCCGCCCGCCGTGCCCTCCACGCAGCACTGGCAGCTGGCAAACACATCTGCCCTCACTCTCCCCACTGGTCTCTGCCCTGTACATTTTGAGGAGAGAGGTGTTAGTTGATGATTTTTGTTTTGTTTTGTTTTAACACCTGTTGACACCCAAAGGAATTAAAAATGGCAGGCCTGCCTTTCTATTAGTGTGCTAATGGCCTTCCCTGCTGCTCAGTGGAGGACTTAACTGGAAGCCATTAAGCGCAGTGGAAACGAATTCCAGGGTTTGGCTCCAGCTGAAACAGCAATGTGTTCTCCAGCAGAAAGCACATAGGAAGAACACCTAGGGGCTGATTAAAATGTCCTCGTGTATGGATGCTCTAAGGAGTGAAGATTTCATGTTTTCTCTATTAACAGTTAATATAAAAAAATTCATTTTCTCTTTTAACGCAAAAGAGAGGAAGATGGTATATTTCTGCTTGGTAACAGAGAAATTATTGGTCTCTGTTTTTAGAGGACATATGTTTAATATATTGTATTCCGAGACACCTGACCTTTAAATCATCAGACAGAAGGCCATGAGCCATATAGAAGGGAAATATTTAGTTTGTCCAGGCAAGGGGAGGGAGGAAGAATTAGTCACCCTTACCAAGAGGTGGAGAAAAAGCAAAGCCCTGTATATTCCCTTGGAAGATGCAGAAGGAAGTACTCCCAGCTTCTTAATGTGCAGCCAGAAACTTATTCATCTTACCCCTCCTTATTTTAAGAACTGAGTTAGGAAACTGAGATCATACATAGCAGGAAAATCGCACCATGGTCCCAATTTTGTGATTTCTCTTAGATTTTTCCCTGGATTTTGTTACATGGCGAATTTAGCAAACGTGATCTGATCGCAGGTAGTTGTTAAAGTGAAACAAATTATGGCTTGTTGGTTCAGATTGGTTTGATTCTCCTTCTTGAGCCAAAGACTAACACAGGCACCCCAGTCTCAGCAGACAGTAGGAATAAATCCTTGATCAGAGAGAGGAGAGCAGGAAAAGGTGACATTTTAATCCACACCTGTACTGAATCCTAAGAGTTTCATGTTTTGTGTGTGCCTGTTCTCCTGGCAGATTACCGACATTTTAATTTGATCTTCCCAACTCACTTGTAATGTTTTTACACAAAGTAAATCCTATATAAGCCCAGTGTGCCTAGTATTTTGAAAATGTGCCCATTTTTAATGAAATAGCTAAGAAGACAGATTTAATTGCTAATGGAGAACTTTGGAAAGGTGTCCCTTTCAAATGCTCTGTGTTAAGCATGGCTTTTACAAATTCTTCCTTAAAAGAAATCTAGTATTTTATTTCAGTATGCCAAGTTTCCTATTTTGAATTAATTTAAGTGACCTAGATAAATGAATGGCCTCAGGGATGGATTGTCTAGACATATCAAAGCAGATACCACCAAGCAATGACTTCATTTTTCTTCCTCACAGGCCTTCTTTCAAGGGAAACTGAAAATCACTGGCAACATGGGGATGGCTATGAAACTACAGAATCTTCAGCTTCAGCCTGGCAAAGCGAAGCTGTAAAGAACTCCCTTTGACAACTTTGGAAAAATCAAGATGAGATACATAGTACTATATCCGTATATTTCACTGTCAGAAGTTAGACCGAAAATAAGCATTGGCAAATAATATGGGGTAAATTTGTTTTGAAATGAGTGTGACCAATCTTGTTTTTCTTAAGCTCCTGGTGAATAGAGCCTGATGGTGTACTGCTGCTTTGCCGAATTGTAGACAACTGTGCATTACAGAGTTCATACAGTAATTATGGTCTGAGGAAACACTGAGTTTCAGAATAAAATTAGGAACAGTAAAATCCAACAACTATGTAAACAAAAGCACTCATTTTGCTTACAAAGTATATTTAAAAATTTTTCTGCTGAAGATTCAATTTAAGATTTTTTTTCTTCCTTGGGAGAACTAGGGAAGAAACAAAATCCCAGCAGCTAGCTGGCCAATAATTAGTATTGTGCACTTAATAACATTAGTCTGTTTAACATTAATAGCTCTAAAAATTCCATGCTGGGGTGGTTTCTAAAAACAAAACTAAACAAAACAAAACAAAAAAACCCAGCCCAACACAAAAACCAGTTTTATAATTTTTCATTTTATGCAGTCAGAATGTTATTTTCTTCCCAAAGCAAAAGAAATATGATTAGCATTTGAGGGATAAAACATCTATACATGAACACAGGCCTATTTTTAAAGTAAGAGTATTTTAAAAAAGATAACCTTCCTGAAAAAGAGTCAGAAAAGAACTAATCTGAAAAATAAAAATCTTGCTTTGAGATGCACAGTTTCTAAATTACAGTCTATTTAACTCAAAATGTAAAGCTGTCAGTTCTAATTTTCCTTTTTCATATACATTTAGCCTGATTGATTACCCTCAGTTAATTTATCTTTTTCACAGGTTTTTCTAATGCTAATGGTACTATTTCTTATAACTCAATGACATATATAGGGTAAAATAATGATTTTGGAAGAATGTTTAATAGAAAATTAAAATAACTCTTCCTGGTCTTCTTTGTCTTCATTGTGTTATGTTCTTTTGATGTTCTCAGAGTTTTCGAGATGACAGAGCCTGAAAGGCAGAATTGGGGATGTTGAAGCTGTGGGTTTCTCACACATCTTCGGCTGGTTACAGTGGCTCAGTCAGCTTGCGTGGTGAGGAGGCAGTGTGGTTCAGGGGGCAAGCACTTGGCCAGCAGCTGCTTCTTCGGCAAATAAATAACTGGCTGCCTGGGCTTGATTGCCAAAATGGCAAAAGAGGGAGGAGGGTTTAAACAGCTGATCTCCAGGTTCCCTGGTTCCTTCCCTCCAGGCTCTGATAATCAGAGCTGAGCAGAACTGTTCAGGACCCAACCAGTCCCACCTTTGTGCTAACGTGCTGCTTCACTCGCAGATGGCCCAAGGTAAAAAGCCATTTGATTTTGTTATAGTGTATATTCCATTTACTTGTTTTATTTGGAGCCTGTTAATCATTGGAAGCCTGTGATTAAGACCGTTGACCTTTGCATGTTCTGTGACCAGCAGACCATTTGGTGATGATGGAACAAGACGGTGAAGTAACTAGTGTTAAGTTGGTCTAAAAGAAACTCAGAATGCAGCCCTTACTTCATAATCATTGTGGATTTCCTGGGAAGACCTTCAAGAAAAAGTGGAAATTAAATGTTTGATTTGCCATAATTTTATTTGCATCATTCTGAGCACAACAACAGATACTTGAGTTTACACCTGCACTGAACACATACAACAGGAGATTACAGAACCAAAGCAAACAAAGAAAAGCAAAAACTCATTCTTGGAATAGAAACATATGTGAATAGAAATACGATAGAAAGGCATTTAGTGATTTCCTAGGGAACAAGTTAAACGGATGTAGGTTAAGATCTTTACATAGGTTGAAGACCCTACTACCTCATCTATAAAATTAAGATTGACTTTTACTTTCTAGGATTATAAGAATATTGAAAGGTAATATTTTTTTAAATTTTTATTTTATTTTATTATTTTTCTGTGAGTGTACCATCAAATCAGATCTGACTGGTACAGGAGGAGATTGTCCCTCCTTCCCTGGCAGAGCATCTGGTGGATTTGAACTGTGCGCCTCTGGGATTAAAGCACCAAAAATAGTTCTGAGTACACTGTAGTCATTGAATCAATGTGAGTTCCCTTATTATCCCACCACTGTCACCACCTCTCACTTCTGTGTTCTGTGGTCTGTAGTGTTATGTCCCTCTCTTTAAACCTTTCTTATTTGTTCATTCATTTACTCCATTGAAATCTAATGAGACAGACATTTAATCAGAGTAATGAAAATTACTTGCTGTGAGATGCTGTGGAGGAAATGGTCACAGTTGCAGTACTGTGACAGAATCGCAATGAGGGAGGCATCTCAGAAGGGGTGATATTTAAACTGAGACCTGAAGGTCGATAAGGAGCAAATCCTGCAAAGAACACTGCATCAAAAGGTGGAAAGAGGCATGGCTGGCTCCAGAAACTGCAAGGAAGCCAGTGTGAGTGGGGTAAGGGAGCAGAGGAGGATGAAAGGTGCTAAGTCGAGTACCACTCACAGCGACCCTATGAGCAGTGGATCTGAACCCTGTCCTATCATCATTCCAGACGTATTCAAGCCCATTGCAGCAATCACTGTGTCAAGCCATCTGGTTGATGGTCTTCCTCTCTTTTACTGATCCTCCACCTTTCCAAGCACGATGTCCCTCTCCAAGGAATGGCCTCTCCTAACACATGCCTAAAGTTTGTGAGATGAAGTTTTATTATCCTTGCCTCCAAGGAGAACTCTGGTTGTACTTTGTGTAAGACATATCTTGTCAGTCCATGGGGTATTCCATAATTTTCTCTAACATCACAACTCATCCTGTCATCCTTATTCACTGCCCAGCTCTCAGGCGCACAGCAGAATTGAAAAGCTTGCTGTGATGCTGAAAGCTATAGGTTGGGGTACTTCCTGCACAGGTTCAAGCAGGGCTCCCAGATTAAGACAGATTTCAGAAGCAGGCCTGGGCATCAACTCCTGAAATAGCAGCCCTCTGAAAACCCTACAAGCAATAGTGGAACAAGAGTAGCTGTAAGAGGTAGAACTTAGATTTGAAGCCAACCAAAATTAGGACAAACAGCTACAAACATCCTTTAATAGTTAGAACATGGATTACATGAAGTTTAGTGTTGAAAAACTAAAAGTTGTGAAAAATAAAATGGAACACTTGAACACTGAAATTCTAGGCATTAGTGAGATGAGATGGATTGGAATTGACCACTTTGAATGAAACAGTAACATAGTATGCTGGGAATGAAAATTTGAGGAAGAATGGTACGGCATTCACAGTTTAAAGAACAATCTCAAGGTATATCCTGAAATTGTGTATTATAGAATACTATCCATACTCATACATGGAAAACCTGTTAACACAACTGTTATTCAAATTACACACCAACAGCTAAAGTGAAAGAGGAAGAAATTGAAGATTTATACCAAATTTTGGAGTTCAAAATTGGCCAAACATTCAATCAAGATACATTAAAGATAATTGGTGACTGGAATGCAAACGTTAGAAGCAATGAAGAAAGAATGGTAGTCAGAAAGTATGATCTTAGTGACAGAAGTGAGGCTGGAAATAGAATTATTTCATTTTATATGCTCAATGATTTATTCATCGTAAATAACCTTTAAAAAAACATAAATGAAAAAAGAAATAACACAAACCACAAATGACAACTTTACACATGGACCTCAACTGTTGAACTGCAAAGGAATCAGATTGACTACATCTGTGGAAGGAATTCTTGGAGAACCTCAGTATTAGCAATTAATACCAATTCAGGTGATGACTGTGGAACAGACCATCAATTATTCATGTACAAGTTCAAATTGAGACTGAAGAAAATGCAAACAAGTCCATGAGAACCAAAATAGGATTTTGGGTCAATTCCCTTGAATTTAAAAATAATTTTAAGAATAGGTTTGAAGCATTGAACACCAGTAATCAAAGACCAGATGAGCTGTGGAAATGACATCAAAGATACTATCCATGAAGAGAGGAAAAGGTCATTACCAAGGAGAAAGGGAGAAACAAAATGGGTGTCAGAAAAGACTGAAAATTGTACTAGAGGGTCGAGAAGTCAAAGGAGATGTTGAGGTTAAAGAGCTGAACAGAAGATTTCAAAGGGCAGCCTGAGAAGACAAAGTATTAGATACTAAAGCACAATGTACACAGAGCTGATATTGGAGAATTAAGAGGGAAGAACTCACTTGGCATTCCTCAGGCTGAGAAAACCGAAAAACAAATTCAGTCCTCGAGTTGCAATACTAAGAAATGCTATGAGCAAAATCTTGATGATCCAGGAAGTATTAAAAGAAGATGGAGAGAATACACAGAGTTATTGTACTAAAAAGAATTGGCTGGAATGGAAATATTTTAGAAAGTAACAGCCTCTAAAAACCTGCTGGAGGGTCAGCTATGGGTCAGTTCCAACTCAATGGGACTCAACAAGCATATGATCAAGAGCCAGTAGTAATGAAGGAGGAAATTCAAGCTGCAGTGAAAGCATTGGCAAAAAAATAAGGCCTCAGGAATCGATGGAATACCAGTTGACATGTTTCAGATGACAGATGCTCACCAGGCTGTGTCAAGAAATTTGGAAGTCAGCTACCTGACCGACTAACTGGAAGAGATCAATATTTGTTCCCATTCTTGAAAAAAGATGAACCAACAGAGTATGGAAATTATCCAACAGGAAATTATCCAAAACATGACTGATAACATATGCAAGCAAAATACTGTTGCTGAGTACCATCCAAAAGTAACCCATAACTGATACAAGTTTTCAGAGGCTGTTTATCATATGGGAAGAGACTGCCCATCCTTCTCCCACAGAGCAGCTGGTGGATTTTAGATTTGAACCACATACCGTAAGGATTACAGTGCAGTTTCTTACCACTTTGCCACCAGACTTCTATGTATTGGCTGTTGTTGTTATTTGTTGGCGGGTTGCCTGTGACTCATAGC